TTCGGCTTGGACCCTAAAGAATTGCTAATTTTTTGTACTGCCACAACAAAGGCTTCAATACAAAAAGAAGAAGCAGCAGACGAGGGCTACTGATCCATGAGGCACATCCTAATTGGACCTCTAAGAAGAGGACAATGATTTTGTTTAATGTTTTAAACTCCATGTTTATTACTCAGTTAATAATCATGAGAACTATTATTTAGCAACTACCATAAATTATTCAGTAACAGAATGTAAGCTTGTCATTGTAAATGAGAAATTGAATTGTGGGTTTAAATATAGGAGTTAACGCACTTACATCACTTGCATTTAATGCAAAGTCTTTATGCTGCTTTTTTGACTCATGAGGCACACAGATCAGTTTGAAATGAATAATTTCTTTTCAAAAGCAAAGATTTTGTTACCACAAACAACAATTTGAGAATACTTTGGGATTAACTTTTTACTTTGGGCAACACTCATGTTCATGTTTATCAAAGCGTTTTCCTTGGTATGAAGAAATGCTGAGCATCTTTTGGCCCTGAAGTAGTTTAGAATTAAAATATGTGGGGTACGTCGTTATTCTCAAGGTTGTTAGATTTGCACAATGGGTACACTTTTCCTTTAAAATGAATCTGACTGGTATTAAATATGTCAGGGCAAACTGACAAAGAAAGCCCATTAGAAAAGCTTGGTGTCCCCAACCATTCAAAAAGAATTTATCCTCTACAACGTGCTGCTCTTATACACAGGTATTCTTAATCCCCCCCCGCCGGAAGTTTCAAGACTCCCCCCATCAAATTGCATGTTTTATCCACTTCCTATCTGAAAATAAGGAAACACATCCTCTACAGCGAACAAAAACATATTGAAGAATAGGAAATAAAATATGTAGTGTGCCATAACTTTTGCATCGGCCACATTATATGTTTTATTTTTTCCACAATATGTTAAATTCTGCAAATAAACAGTAACTGTGCATTAAAATGTGCAAAAGACTGTTCTCTGTAGCGGACACGAACTTTTTCCACTTAGAAAATCAGCAAAACCTGTCATTCGACTGGGGTGCCCAAACTAACATACCACTGTATGTATAACTAAACAGAAATGGCATTTATTTATAGTTTAGTATTATAATGGGGTATTGCTACATGATGGGGTAAGAAACTAGTACATGATTAATCTTCTTTGAGTAACATTGTTTCTTTTTAAAACATAAACTGGTAACAATTTCTATCATTGTCTAGTTATTGCAGAAACCAAGACTACATGATGACGGCCATCTATCAAAGCATTACTTCCCGGAAATACTACCAAGAGACAAATGGTTTAGTTGGAATGATACAGTCAATCTTGAAAGAGATTTGTAGGTAATCAGGAAAAAAATGGGTAAAAGATTACATGAATAATTTGTGGAACACCAACTCTGACAATCACACAGTTGCACAGCATGCTCTTGGGGGAGGAAACGTCGTTTGGGGAGACGTAGCTGAATTTGACTAATGACTTCCTCAGTGTGAACAATAGAGACAAATGTTACTTTAAATCCAAAATACTTAAATCCAGCTTTCGATGACTCCAGGCAAATATCATTACTCATGTGGGGCCCACCTCGCTCAGTGAGCGCATGCACAACCAGATGATGGCTTTCCCCAACTCAATCCATCACGCAGACCCGCACACGGGCTGAGAGCCTCCACGTAGGGTCCCCGCTAAGTGGAAGAGCTGCAACAGCTGTAGCTGATACTAGGTGGTGTGCTTAGAGATACCCAGCGCCCCATTTAAAACGGCATTCGTTGCACTTTAAAGAGCGGGGCGCTGAAACCCTCCTCATTTGATGTATTGTTCTTCATCTTAGCAATTTTGGGAATAGGAAGTCTAACTTATCATATTGTCACCTGCAATACAGTGGCCCACAGGCCCAGTGCATCACCTGAGCTGCTGATGTCATGTACTGTTGGACCATCCTCCGCTTATTATAATTCCTATTCATTCCACTGAATAAAACAGAAATATGAAAGTTAGAAAGTAAAGCAATAGGTCACCCCAAGCTGTGCACTGCACTGATTTTAGGCACAACACAATGTCAAATAAACAATTTAATGTATTATTAAGAGTAATCACAACAAACAATTCTTCCACCAAGCAATTTAGTCAGTTAAAAGTAGGCTGTGGTTGCCGAGCAACAAAACAGTCAAACATTATTCTATATACAGCACAATGATTGTTAACAGACCCAATCAGTGTGTTTGTAATCATACAGGTTGGTGGTACCTTGAGGTGGAGTAGCTCATTTTAAGTAGCAGTATATCCAAACAGAACACACTGAACCAAAACATTGGCTTTAAAGGTGAAACCTTTGAGCTGTAATGTCAATTGTTCCCCAGTCTGTAATGGATTAAGTTAACATTTTTGCCTGTTTTCTTCAGCTGCTGTAAGTAGTATTACACTTAGGGAGGAAATGTGAATATTAGCCTGCTGGCTCTTAACATAACATAGCATTTCCCTAACAGCTAACAGAAATTAGTATTATCTCAGTGGTGGTAATTATAAAGTGAAGGTTTCTTCATTAAACACTGCTGTATTATTCATGACTGGTGAAGGTTCATGATTGCATGACATAACAATGAAAAAGGTCATAAAATCCCCTGGTAATCATGAAATTATCAGCCTGTGAAGAAATGTTTAAAAACAGAAATGAATGGCCAACTTGGAATACAACATCTTTAGTTGCATACAGGTCTGCTAACAACAATGAAGATAGGATCATCTAATTTTTAACTAAATGTTTATAGGAAAACAGTATCTGAGTATTTAATCATAAAAAAAAATTGTTCTGTTTTCCCAATATGTTGGTTTAATATCAACGTTAATAAAGTCCTGTTGTATCAATGCAGCGTTGCTGCTGTAATCAATCCAGAAGTACGTTCTGTTGTTGTTGCACTACTAATTTGTCCTATGACATGGCACGGGCACTAATAGAGATTTCAACAGATGTGTGTGGTATTACCTCTATGCTTATCAAGCATTTTACTATGGCTTAGAATGTGGCTCAGCAAATTAGTGTTAGAAACAGAAATGTTTGTCATAACCACATATTTAAGAATGTCCCACTTGCTTGATAGTGAATCAGCTTACTTCCAATATTTTGAGTGCAGAGATATCATTGACACCAAAGCTGCAATAGAAAGGTATGACTGCTTAGCTAGTGGTGTATTACAGGTAGCAGAAGATTAGAAGTTTGGCAGGTGCTCTACATCCACTCTACGCAATGCATTTACAATAAACACAGATGCAAAATGAAACAGTTACAAAACAAAATTTCATTTGCACAATGACAATAAATTCTATTGTATTCACTGCCCAACCTGACACCTCGAATTTCCAAAAAGCTTTGTGCAAAACAATTCCTAAAGGGCCAGGAAAAAAGAAAAGCCAAGAAAAATGGTCGGCTATTTATAAATAATATTTAATTAATGAGCTTTTAACATAATGGATTGAAGGGATGTAATTGCAGATGGTTTTATGATGACAGCCTTGGCTTTGCAGGGCTCTTTCTCCTATTTTCAATTACAGTCCTGAACAGGGGGAGAGAGAGAGAGAGAGAGAGAGAGACAGAAGGAGAGAGAGAGAAGGGGAGAAAGAGAAAAGGAGAGGGAGAGAGAGAGAGAGAGAGAGAGAGAGAGAGAGAGAGAAGGGGGGGGGAGAAGTGGGGGGAGAGAGAGAGAGAGAGAGAGAGAGAGAGAGAGAGAGAGAAGGGGGGCTGGCGGAGGCTGAATTAAAGAGGCTTTTTGTCGCGTTTAATATCAATTCATTCCATGGACTGCTGACACAGGCAGTCCGGAGAGTCCAGGATTTATGGCTCCCTCTAATGGGCATGCTCAGAATCAAAGGCCTGTCGTCAGCACAACCCACCCCGCACCGTGCTCACTCACTCACTCACTCACTCACTCACCCCAGCCCTCTCCTCTGCTCCCTACTCCGCTCCCATCTGCCTTTTAAAGACATACGCATTCCTGTAGCTCCAGTACTCAGATGCACACTACACCACACTACACACTGGCTCTGACAGCCAGCGCTACAGCCAAACACTTTACTCTTATCAGGTCCCTCACGCTGGCAAGAAGAGCCAGAGGAATGGGCTGTCATTAGGAGGTTTGTTTGGAGTCCAGGCTGAGATAAGACTGCTTCTCACTACATCAGAACACAGTAGATCTCTCAGCCACAGGCTGAACACAGGTATTAGATAGATATTAGTGAACTGCACACTATCAGCAAAGAGAGAGCAAGGAGAGAGAGAGAGAGAGAGAGAGAGAGAGAGAGACAGACAGAGAGAAGGAGAAAGATAGAGAGCAAGAAAGATACAGAGTGAAAAATATAACAAAAGAAAGAAAGAAAGAAAGAAAGAAAGAAAAGGTTAGATTTATAGCTGGTCAAACTAGAATTCTATGAACAACAAAATGACAAATGAGAAAAAAAGTTAGAAAGAGAGACAGAAAGAGTAGAAAGAATGGGAATGAATGAATGAAGGAAAGAAAGAAAGCAAGAAACAAGAAAGAAAGCAAGAAAGAAAGAAAGAAAGCAAGAAAGCCAGAAAGAAAGAAAGAAAGAAAGAAAAAGAAAGAAAGAAAGAAAAAAAGAACGAAACTCCTCTTTTCAGTTACAGAGAGAACAAGAAAAACTTATTTCAAGAAAGTCAGTAAGAAAGAAAGAAAAAAAGGCAGATAGATAGAAATAATGCAAAAGATAGAGAGAAAAAGAAAACCATAAAGAAAGAAAGAAAGAAAGAAAGAGAAAGAAAGAAAGAAAATAACAACCTCTTTTTAATAACCTAGAGAGAGAGAGAGAGAGAGAGAGAGAGAGAGAGAGAGAGAGAGAGAATGGCAGAGGAATATCTCTCAGCTCTCTTTCACACAGTCTCTCACTTTCTCATTTACACAAGACATCACAACATACAACTTAACACACAAACACACACACACAAAAAGGGCTCCACATATATCCTCACCCACCACACTGACCTGCCCAGCTCGGGGTCTCCATGTAAGGTGGGCTGTGGCTGAGCTGTGGTCACTCACCGCTGCCACACGAATCTCAGGGTCCTGCAAAACAAAGAAACAGCCTGTTAACACCCACGCAAATATACACTAACAGTGTATCACACGACCAAGTCTGACAAGGTCATAAAACACATACAACTAAATTACTAAGTGCAAAGCATATTTACAAACAAATAAACAAACAAATAAAAACATGTAAGCTTTCATTAAAAAAGCCTATCAGACGGTGTCTGAAAAACAAGGTAGTACCTGGTACATGTAGAGTGTTTTTATTGGTACATGCAGAATGTTTATTGAAAAAATAAGCCCTTTTCAAGATAAAAGGTCAAAGTTAAACTTAACCCCTAAAAATAGGGACGCACCAATATGGCAATTTTTCATGTACATAGGAGTCAATGCCATATGCATTATATGTTTATAAAACAGTTTTGTAGAGGGTTACGAATGCAGTAAAATGAATTAAATGCAGATCTTATGACACAGTAGCCCAGCATTATCCAAATGTTGTGCTCTTCCAAAATACAATAAATACATCAATACAGTAGAATAGAACAGAATGCAATAAACAATGGTTTGAAACATTGGCTAAATCTAAACATCTGTCTGATTCAGACCGTTTTTTTTCAAACAATTATCCACTTATACATATGATACCTGCTGATATATGAAATTGTGCATCCATTTATTTCCAGTAATTTCTCTCTGATGTCTCATTGGCAAATTCAGAAAGAGTATGCGTGCTAAATACGCTCCACTTTCCTGCGTGATTCCTTGATCAGTGTCTCTCTCCAGTTTGTCTTCGTTATGGTAATATTGAGGTGAAATAGGATAAGGATAAGACCAGGCCTTCCACAGCTTAACCACACCAGCTGTCTCCCATCACCAACACAGAGTACTGTACGGCTACACACCAGCCAGACACACACACACACACACACACACACACTCTCTGACTTAGTTTAGGAGAACAAAGCGTAAATAATGCACTGTCAGGAGCCCTCACTCGCCACACTTGCATTTGAATATTGAAAGTAAACACCGAATCTGCAAACACGTGACACTCATTAAGCACAGACATGGCAGGCATTGAGCCTTGCCTGCTCTCTTCTCCTGAGGAATCATGTCCCATTAACCCTTTTCTGCGTGAACACAGCTGAGGCCCAGACACCCAGCAGCAGACTAAATCATTCCATTTACCAGACACGCTGAAGGATTGACACCAGGGCTGAGGCTGGTATCAGCAGGCAGCTAAAAGAGACCAAGATGAGCTGGAATGGGCTGGACTATCTGTGTGGCCATGTGTTTTACTCTACAGTCCCGGAATGTAGGGCGGGCTGTATAACAGTATAAAAGTGAATACTGGTAAGACATTGTCTCATGATACGGGTTACTCCATAGCACAGATGTTGTGACATGCGCAAAGATGGTTAAATATAAAAAGCTCCACCCCAAGACAAATTAAACACTGCATTTGACCACTGTAGCATCTTTCTGCAGGTCCCCTAGTGGTTATTCTTCAGGGAGAATGAAAATTGACTTGGAAATTGAATTGATATGTTCTGCCTCTATTATCATATTAACTAGGACATTGTTGGCTCTCTCTGTGTGAAATGCTGTATAGAGTCTGTATAGAGCTGCTAGCGAGTAATGGGGGGTGAAAACACCCTGCTGTGTAAAAAGCTCACACCTCAAAGATGGCAGTGTCGAGATTAAAAAATGCAAATGCAGCTTTCTTGAGATCAAAAAACATGTAACAAAGCCACAATGAAAAACAGTCTTCAAGCACAATATAACCACTTTCACAGATGTCGACATGCCTGCTCACCTACCAAGTTCAATCCAATTTTGTAAATCATACACGTGTCAAAATATATATTCGATCAAAGTTTCTGAAAAATAAAAATGTCCATGTTAAACTGAGTGACCAACTAAAAATAACAGGTGGAAACAGCATTTTATTGACTATATTTTATGACTATATTCTTAATAAAAAGCATAACTTCTAAACTTTGACAGGCTTATAAAATTTGATGACATAATAATAATAATAATAATAATAATAATAATAATAATAATAATGACAAGTTCAGAAACCTTGCAATGTAATTTGTAGAGGGTTTAGATGGAGGTAACAGAGGTTACTCAGATGCAACAGCAATTTTCAAAGAAAACAATTTCACATGAAAACTAAGTAAAGGCCGTAGTCTTAGCTACAAATTATGATAATTTACACACATTGACATTGTTAGCACCAATAATTCAAAATTTTCATTGAATAAAGACATCACATATGCAAAAATAAAAACATCTTTTTGTTCCATTGTTTCAATATTCTTCTGTTCCAGATGTTCCATTTAACTGTACGTTGGCTCACTTCAGCATTTAAATCTGGAAGTTAACCTTAGCAAAAGTTAGATTTATAGCTAGTCAAACTCCAGAATTCTATGAGCAACAAATGAGAATAAAGAAGCTTATTTCCAAATCAATTTGCTGCTGAATCTGGTGAAAACGAGCGTAAATTGAGTAGCCAATATCTGCAGGAAATTTCTACAGATTGGCCAAATAAAAGTGTGTGAACCGCTACTGGGGATTGGGGATTCTGCTTCAAAATTCTTCACTGAGGTTGAGGTTATGATTGGATCTTAACATTTATCTACATGAATACAGAAGTCAGTGGAAGCACCAAATGAAAACAGGAATAAGTGTGTGCGTGCTAGAGAGAAAGAGACAGAGAGAAAGAGAGAGAGAGAGAGAGAGAGAGAGAGAGAGAGAGAGAGAGAGAGAGAGAGAGAGGAAGGATAGGGGGATAGGAGGATAGGGGAGAAAGAAATAGAGAAGCATTAATCAGGCAGAGGAAGCTATGGGGAAGGAGAAACGGCAATGCTGCAGCTTCTCCCTGGGCACAGTGACTGCACGGCACCAAACACAGGGCCCCTGAGAGCGCATGCAGCACTCAGCAAAAAACGCCTCTTTCTGTACATTACCATAATTACACTGCCTTAATGGCCTCTATTGCAGGCCATTCTGATTAAATATGCATAGTGCCCGGGCCATATCCACACAGCTTGATAAAAGTGTTGTTCTTCTGTGTCATTAAATAGTTAACATTAATCTGATATATAGAGTCTGTATGTTTATAAAAAAAAAAACAGCACTCGTCAAAGGCCAAGAATCTCTCTCTCTCTCACTATCCATCCATCGGCAAGTGTCTTACTCTATTCCGAGTGTTCCCCTCTGTGGTCAAGAGCAGAAGTGAAGTCAGAGGAATGGGAAGTCTTTGGGGAAATCCAGTGCAGTACTGGCTGTGTGAGAATTAATTTATGGTGAATTTCTACACGCTAGCCAGAAAATGGGCACTCAGAAGAGGGAAAAAATAAGCTGCATGCTGCATATCAACAACTCCCCGGATGCAGCCGCAATGCTCAGGAAAGAGTGCAGGTGTAGCACACTACATTAGGCAGGATGCTGAGTGTACTTTCCTTTAAACAGGAGAAAACACACAACATGTAAAAGAGATTGGGATTTGTTTTCCACCTTGTTGACAAAGACAGAATTCAGAAGCGAACTGTGGTATTAAAGACTCTGTATGTGTTCATTCTACTCATTAGCATATTTCAGCAATGGTCACTTTTTTCTACAGTAAATTTGGTAAAATACATTGGGGAAAAAAAAGATCATTTACAGCAACAAATTCTGAAATTATCTTAAAAGAATGAGTTATGTTCATAACGTTTTATATTTGATGCAATGAACCAGAAAATGCTGGATTGAGTATCAGAAAGAAAAAAAAATGACTCCAGTTTAGTCCTTTAACAGAGTATTTTTTGAGTGTCCTTTTTAGATGAAATAAACACTCAACTGGCTCTCAGTAACATAACAACATATCAATGATGTAGCAGCAGTGAACACATTTAGTAGATTATCAAGAGACTTTTAATTAACTGTGTAAATAAAATTTGCTTATAGTCTGCAGAATTGAGTTGTTTTTTTACTTTATTTGGAGTGTCCAAGTTAATATCTGTAGATGTTAATCTGAGAGGTCATTCAACATGTAACAGGTCTCAACATCCTCAACAAGCCATTACAGACATGCTGCTGACACCATTCTGTAACTGGAGCTTGACTGAATCAGGGTTTTGGTTAAGCTTAGGGTTAGGATTAGGGCCAAGGTTAGGATTAGGATTAGGTTTTGGGTTGAGGTTAAGGTTAGGGTTAGGATTAGGGCCAGGGTTAGGATTAGGTTTTGGGCAAGGTTGGGTAAGGTTAGGTTATGCTTAATGGCAGCACCATATAAAGTCTACTTCATGTAACATATCAACAAGACTATTAAATGTAAGTAATGTATCAACAGTACATCTTCAAGGTATTTGTGCTACTTTGTGTGACTGCTACATTTCCTTTGGGATCAATAAAGTCTCTATCTATCTATCTGTCTGTCGGTCTGTCTGTCTGTCTGTCTGTCTGTCTACCTATCCATCCATCCATCCACCTCAATGTATTCAGATGCTGCACTACTGCTACTTCACTGCTATTTCACTGATGTGTTATTGATACTCTGTTAAGAGCTTATTAACCATCTACAAAGGACCACTCAAAATAAATGTTACCCTGGCTTTTTCATCCAGGTTTTCCTATTCAAAATGTCACAAAAATTAGGTGGATGTTAAACCGCCTATTGTGTGATGTGATGTTAGCTGTGAATTTCTTCACAGCTAACAACAGCATGGTTACAGAGTGTTTGAGTAGTTTCAGCATGATAGCCTACTTTTAGCCTACTCATCTAACCTGAACTGCTTCAGTTAAAATTACCTCATTTTTCAGAGCTCCCAAGAGGCACATATGTCTAAGCATTGGCCCTATCATCAGGATAACACAGCCATTCATAGCCAGGAGTCCGAGAGAGCATAATTGGCCTCCCTCTCTCTGGATAGGTAGGATGGTCCATATCACAATGTCGTGATGCACCGTTACACCTATCAGACTGGTATCGGTAACACCTGCACCATCTTTATTTTATATCAATGCAGACATCAATGCAGATT